AACTTGATGGAAGGCACTTTTTTAATTTCATAATTAATTGATGGTATAATGATGGAATATATTATGATATATATAATTAAGGGAATATTCTTCTAGAAATATAATACTAAACGGTACTGCGAGATTAATTATTTATTTTGAGTAAATATTAAAAGCACTGCCTGTTGTGCTTTAAGTGCAGAATACTTTCAGAAATTGAATAATTGACGACTATCTTTCTCAGTGTTAAATTAGATTTCTATAAGGACACATTATTGTAATATAATTCTCTTTCGAGAATATTTGATGTATATATATGATAAAATTCGTTCTGCATTTTATCAACTTGAGATAAACATAAACATCCGGATCATACGTTTAACCCGAACATCATCACACCATGTGGAACACTGATATCTCAAGTGCATTGCTTATCATTAAAGAGTCTCTGGAAGCCTTCGGGCGACTTAAAATAGCTTTGAGGCTTACTTACTTCAAGGCGGTTACACGTTTTATTACAATCTCTGATACTTGCAGACGCCGAGCCCGTTCGCTTGGTGTTTTAGCACAAACAAGTAGCTTATATGTATAAATACCTACAGTCAATATATTCGTGTATTTCAAGCTTATATATTTAGTCGGAATACATCGATCCATTATATAATTAGAGAAGTGTCATTAATTGCTTAATAATCATCTATAAAAAATTCTGTTAAAATCTGAGAGTAAAATGAAGCTGACGTAAAACGCAGGATATAAATATCTTTGTGTCAAACGTAGTTTCATATATAATATTTTGTGCAGGGGCTGCAAGTTACTCAATTAGCCGAATAAACATGATCACTTTTATTTCATTTATAAGAAACGATAAATTAATGACATATTGATTTTGTAAGAGATCATCGAATGTAATAACTGATGCATCAATTTACAGCTAGTCGGCTTAATGGTGCATTAATATGCGCGTTTAAAGAAAAATTTGGAGTGCTTGTTCGGACAGCGGTATGTAGATAAATTAGATCAACAGACATTCATCTGATAGATTAAAAATTAATTAATGCAAAATAATTAAGATGCATAAAATAAGATTCACTGAAAATTCATGATATAAATTCAGACTTATGTAGAAGATGAGAATATGTGTGAATTGTTTTATTGTATAAAAAAAAACTCGTAAAGTACATAGTTTTCTTTGAGTATAAGAGCTCAATTGTTAAGATGATTGCAAAATAATTTAAAGAGACAGTTAAGAATTGTATCAAGAGGAAATTATTGTTGATATTGTACAAGGTACTTTCTCGGCAAAGAAATCATTTTCCATTCCAAATAAATTTTGACATATTTTCGTTTTTGCGATATCTCTCATTCAGAGTTTAGTTCCAGAGACGCGGAATCGTGGCAGCACTGTCAACGGTCTCGAAATCAATACTGCTGTGCGTGAGTGTCTCGCCTGTCGCAATTCTTGAAACGCGATATTACAGCACGTAGAAAAATACTATACGACAGAGCTGTTGCGCCTGATTCAATTGCACAAACCGGGTTACCATGCGATTCTTAATTTCTCACTTAACACTTCTGTATACGCTCTCTCGTCACCTTTATTAATGCACATATAAAAGATAAAAGAATCAAAGTAATAATCCGCGAAACAAAAGTATCAGATAGCAAAGATGAGATAAATGTGAAATAACTCTTTATGATAATTCTTATATTTAAAAGCGAGTAGAGAAAGCAGCAGGTCTTATTACATTTGTACGCTTTTAAACTACGATAAATTAAATGGTATCCTTACTGATTAATACAATTATCGAGCCTCACGGTTGCCATTTTCTATTTTCTCTTCCTACATATAATAACATTAGACATTCACTATCGAAGGCGGAAGTGTTCTTTAAATCGATTCCTGTCAAAGTGTAATTCAAGAATAACTCGTAACGTACTTCAAATCTTGATCTTGAATCATCGATAAAGATCAGTAATCTAATCTATTGTCCTATTCAATTATTTTTTTATATTAACTCACTCTCGGTATGGCATAGACGGTTTTTATTTATTTATTTTTATTTTTTTCAAAAAATAATATTTCGAAATTTCTTTACTTTATTGTTTATAACTTTTTTTACGAATAAAAATATGCGTATTTGTTTAATATCATTATTTTTTAATATGGCATTTTAATTGAAAAAATGTGTTTCAATGTGTTCATTCTTATGAAAATTATAAGTGATCAAAGTCAACCAACAGATTAAAAATTAATGCAGAATAAAATGAATAAAATAAAATTCATAAACGGTAAAATTAAAACTATAATGATGACTTGAATTGTTCAAATGAATTGGTTAAAAATTTGCAAGTACTTAATTCATATTGTATAAATTGAGTATAACATACAGTGTGTTGCATTCATGAAAAAAACGGTACGGTATAGTATTGAAGGGCTATCGACATCAGTACGTTGCAAGCAAAATACATACGTTGCGCATTTACGAATTTTGCAATACTCATTTGTTGCTACATCGCATCGTCAAAATTTTTCCAATCATAGCGATGTCTCGTCTCCGCTCAACGTGCGTATACATGGCCGCGCAATAAATTCCGTCAAATTCTCGACCGACGGATCGGCCAATCGAGAAGCAATTGCAGCATTCCAGATTGACAATCGGTCAAGCTCCGTTTTCGCCGACTTGCGCACTTCCGTTTACCGTCATCGTAGATCGATCGGTTACGACAATCGGTATTACAGCATGTACCGAGACGCGCCCGCAATCGAGAAACTCCTCGCGCGACGCGATCATCTTTGACTCGAGCCGAGAACGCGGCAACGCCAAGAGGGTCGTACCAACGCGAATTTCGCGCGTGAGGAAGGTCAGTGACCCCGGTGGAAGCGTTATCGAGCGGGTCAGTGGGTCGCAGAACCACGGAGCATTTTGCCTCCCTCTTCTCGTCACCACCCACCCTGTAACCGCCCCACCTTCCCCCGCATACAACTATCTCGTGCCGGCCACCCACCACCCCTGCCCCTCGACATCTTCCTGTGGAAGAGCGGTTGACGGTGGCTGAACTAAATATGCGCTTGAAATCTCGACTTTGCAAAAATTCGTCTTTTACCTGGGCAGAATTCTCTAGCAGCGGATAATAGGTTTTCTTTCAAATGTGAATAAGAGAGAGCTTTACTAGAACTAAAAATACTGCACTTGACACAGATCCTATTTCAAGACTAAATTTGTTTTTTTTTTTTTTTAAGACGAGAGAGCGGGAGAGAGATTTTATAAACTCTGTAATGACGAGACTCTTTTTTTCATTCAGATGATGCAAAAATATTACACGAAGACTTGCAGTATATCTATGTGATGTATTAGTTCTATAAGTAAAGCATATTCATTTGAAATGCAAGCTATCTGCTGCTAAAGAATTCCGCCCAGGTAAAAGACAAATTTTTGCAAAGTCGAGATTTCAAGCTCAAATTTGATTATAATTCTATGTTTTATTTATATTCATTTTAATTGTGTGAAAATTTTGTGAAAATGTATTTTCATTAAAATCTATCAAAATCAATGGAAATTTTTTTGGACAATTTCCGATGTCTTTAAATTAAAGCGCGTTAAAAATTTCACGTCTATTTCACGCAAATAATGAGATGTCATTCAGACTTCTCGCATCTCTCGAATGATGGACTTGTCAATGAAGATAAATTGGGAAAGGGACGACGAGACGTATATGCGGAAAAATTCATTGCACACCAGCAGCGAATTTTCCGGGACAAAGAGACCTCCTGGGTAGCTCCTATCGACAGAAATCACGAAGATGCTCAATAAGCTTCGATGTCAAACAACAAGAAAATATCTACTCCGATATGCATCCTCCTTTAATCGGTGGTAGCATTTAAAAGTTAATGAAAGTAGTATATAAATATTTCAAGAATTTCTGCAATTTTAAATATAGATTTATATATTAAATATGAATGCAGAAGGTATCTATATGAAAAAGCAATCGTATCATATGTGATATAAAAGACTCTTGTGAATTGCAAAATTGCAAATAATTGATTTAAAAGGTTATCGCAGTCTCTGAACCTTATGAATAAAAAATATCAAGAAAGAAACAGATTTATATATCTATAAGAAAAATTTATATTAAATTTTTCGAAAGAGAAGAGATATTCAGAGGCATCCAAGCGAAGAAAAGCATCATAAAGAACAATTAGAGACGAGATTTAGAATGAGAACACGCGAAAATATGTTGCACCAGTTTACCTATATACAAATAAAATTAGTCCAGGAGAATAATCAGAGAAATGCAAGTAGTTTCATTTTATATACATATAAGAATACAGCTAATAATAAAAATATACTAACGCGATAATTGATATCACTGCTGTTTTGCATGAAAATATACTAGAATAAAAAATACTCTCTCGAGAAATTAGCCCCCTCCACAGCTGAGAAAGCTCTATTTTTTCTTTGCGCAAAACAAAATGATCCACCGTTAAACATCCGCGACGAATTCTTTATCGCCATTTTCCAAAGCACGTTTACGTCTGTAAAGAGGGATTTCAAGAAGTGGTCGACGACACGAAGGAAAAATCCACAAAGACGTAAAGACGCAGGACTACGCCGAGGCGGAGAACGTAGGGCGTATAAGCTAACGCGAGAGGATGGGGGACATCATTTCTCCGAGGAGGGAAACGGAGGACAGCCACAGAGAGAGAGAGAGAGAGAGAGAGAGGAGCATCCCGCGGCTCTATATAGACCAAAAGCTTTTGCGTTCGCATTGCGCTTGTGCGAGAAGCTGCCGTTGCCCGGGAAGAGACCTCCCGGCCAGCCTCAGTCTCCGGGATGCTGGGGGCGGCGATCGTGATTCTACCCCCATTCTCGTAGCGCTCCGATAACACAGCCCGACTGATTGCAGCGCGGTCCCGTTCGTTCCTCGGCGACCACTCTCAAATTAGCCCTCGTCTCTTGCTTCCGTTCATCTCGCTCGGCTCGGCGCGCGCGAGTAGAGGAGCCCGGGCTCCTCGCGTTGTCTCCCTTGAAACGGGTCCACCCTCTGTTGGCGCCGCCGTTGCCGCATCCGTCCCCTGTCTCCCTCTTTCTCTCTCTCTCTCTCTCTCTCTCCGGGGATCCCAATCCGCCTTCCGTCCCTTCTCCGCGTCCACGCTTCACACCCTTTTCCGAAGCCGGGGCGCAGTCACCGCGAGAGCCTTCAGCCAACCGTCTCTGGCAGGTGAGTCTCTCCTGTCATCTGTCGTCGCGGGTGCGTCGCGACGCTCAAAGTGGTGGTCGTTGTCGGTCAGCGGAGCGTACAGTGCACTAGGACCCTGAGAGATTCAGCCGCGTTCGTGTGTACACAGAATTTTCCATTAGCTCGTTCAACCAAGTACGCGGGATCAGAGACCTACGTATTAGACCTTAGGGATCTCTACGTCTCTCTCTCTTGTTTTTGTTCTATCTCTCTCCGCCATTCAATTGTCTCTTGGTATTGCTCACACATTCTTTCCAATTCGAAGCGTGAGCCTCACTGCCTTGCTGTTCTTCCGCAATTCATTTCTGCATAGACGATTCTGCCGACACTTTACAAACGGAAATGCTACAGAGCATTTACTCACCTTTTCCTTCTTTCCTGCTTTCGTAGAAGAAAAATTAAACGATATTATTTCAAGATTTTATTGTCATAACTGAACTTAAGAGAGAGAGAGAGAGAGAGAGAGTATACAAATATCAAATATATTTTATATACATCTCATGTCATATTTCATGTATATCATACGTAATGTATTACCGATCATATTACGTAGTACTCTAATGTCTCACGAGAAAGGGTGTGCTCCATTTTTACGCTTCAGCAAAGAGAGCCCTAATGGAACAAAGAACCAAAGCGCAGGCGCTTCTGAGAAAAAGAAGATTTAGAGAGATGTAGTTGAATTGGATTATTCGAGATCGTAAAGATAATTCACGATAATCAATTAGTTAATAAACAACGATTTAATATTGAACTCGATTAATACCGAGGCGTGCACCAAAATGGCCGCACAGGTACCAGCGCTTCCGAAACACGACCACCACGTAGGGGGCACTTGAGCTCGCGCTAGGGGGTATTAGATCGATTTGTTACGAGATCGTTGAGTACCTTTTGACGATCGTTAGGAGCTCGTGAAACAAGACGAAATCCACGATGGTGGGTGGTGGCGACTGTAAGGTTGCTACCGTAGAGGTAGAGGCGGCCTCCGGAGGCGACAACACGGCGACACTTCCGGTTACCAGGCCCCTCAATCCGCAAAATTCACCGCCGAATGCACAGGACAACGCCGAGAAGAACAACGCCGCGAACAAAGAAATGGAACTGAAGAATGTGCGATCTACCCCGGCGAAAAAGTAAGGCGCACGCTGTGACGAACAAATAAAAAGATTTTTATTTAAGGATGTATCAGGTTTATTGAAAATGACTAGACATTTTTATTTTCTGTATAAAAATAAATGTACCACATATGGAACAGTTCATTATTCATATTTAACAATACAATTTATAGCTTAAATGAAAATTTCTTCATTTTTTTATTTTAATTTTTGAAAACATTTATTTCTTGTGTTGAAATAATTTTTTATTTATAATTTAAATTATTACCAGATTTTGTTACACTATGCGCGTTTAAATATAATATAGAAAAATATTTTCATATTTTTTTATCTCGTTAAAAAATATGTGTAATACATCCTTAAGAATAGCTTCTCATTTCTTTCGAAGTCGCAAATTTAGCATTTAATAAGTACCTATAGTAGGTGAAACAGTTTTTGCATGCGTCTTTCGGAATAATTTGACACGAAGAAGAAGATATTGTAAAGCGCTTCTCGCTATCGCAAAAAAATATACATTTGTTATTCATACCAATAAGTTGAATGAAGCAATATTTTTTTTATTTTAGTAAAACTATTTCAGAAAGAATGGGTGCAACTATTCTTATCATTCATTACAGTTTGCTAATTTTGATCTTGGTAATTTTTCTAGAGCATTATTAAGAACTCTGGATGTTTTTCTGTGTAAGAATGAAATCTAGGTCAAGTATAAACGCCATTTAGTCCGGTCGCGGTGCGCATGCTAATGAAGCATAATTATTTAACGACATGTTAATTACGTGCTTGTAAATTTATAATCCTACAGTCTGGCGTGACTTATAATATACGTGCAACACTGATTCTAATCACAACCAAAGCATAATAAAATCCAATTTATTCAAAACTAATATAGACTCGAATTTTTTTGTTTGACGCCTCAACAGCGTCTTTAAAACTTGTAACAAAAACTACTATACGGAAAGAACAATTTTGTTGAAAGAAAGATTTACAATTTTACTGAATATAGATCTGAAAATAATTTCGTTGGACCATGAAATAAATTTTTGTGGAAACTCAAGTCGATTACTAAAATCACGATTTTAAATATCAATATTTTTTTACAGTATTACTCATCGCTTTTTAGTTTTTGATACAATTATTTTGATAGCCCAACAAAATTATTTTAGATTTATATGCAGCAAAATCGTCGCTCTTTTCCGGAAAATTTCTAATTAATAAAAGTATATATTTTTTATCATTACATATTATTGCAATTGATGTTTGCAAAAAAATTAATATTTTCTGTTGTGTTTAATAGACGCTTAAACATGATATCTACAATTTTCGAGAACAAGTTATTTCTTGATGCGCAATATTAATTTCCTTATACTTATATTGCGTATAAAAGCTCCAAATTTCATACATATACAGAAATATATCTGACTACACAAAAACATTGGTCTCCGAAGCGTGAAAGACAACAAGGTGTCAAGTAACCACAAGATAAACGTAATGCTACGCGAATAAAAAAATAAAAATAGATAGTGAAATGAAGGATATAAATATAAATTATAAAAATATGCGCAGTAAAGAAAATTGATTAATCGTCTACGCAGAATGGCACGGTATTTTAATACTGGTATATATACTTTAAATAAAATATATGCAGTAAGATATTTTACACGGGAAAATTTATGAAAGTAATCTTTTTAAGCAATTACAATAAAATTTGTAATGTTTTTGTATATTTAAATAACTTATATTAAGTTTGCTTAATCTTTTTTATTAGTCACAAAAGGAGAGACAGTGTTGGCCACATCTTCACATCCGGCTTACTAGAAAATAGATATATGTAGTAACAGAGGATCTGAAATGGAAACGAGATAGTCTAGTTTGGTTTGCATTTCTATTTACGACGTAGTTCGTTAACCCGTATGCAGCGCTGGATATGCGTCGTTCGTCTATCTATGTATTGTGCATAATGCACCATAAAAATTACGCAATTATTCTTTTTATTAAATTATTTAGTTGAAAAAAAAAAAAAAAAACAAAAAAGTTCTATTTTTACGAATTAAATCCTACAAATTACAAAATTGCAATTACTAAATCTCATTTTATGTAAAACAATACTGCGTTATTTACTTTCTTGCATTATGTTTATGTATGTATATGAAAAGAACGATTTTTACTGAAATATTTATCTATAGATAGACACAGATTTGCAAATAATTTCGTTGGTCTGTCAAATTAATTATGTAAGAACATGATGAGTAATGCTACAAAAAGTTTCGACATTCATTGTAACCAATTTGAATGTCCTACATAATTATTTTTAATCCGATAAAATTATTTTTGGATCTGTATCTAGCTAAACTTTTGGATGCTTCAGTAAAACTGCGTCCTTTCTATATGTATTGTTTCAAATGTTTACTAAGAAGGAAAATATGTGTCTATATGTGCATGTTTGTATGTGCGCATATAATGAGTGGCGTAAAAGGTTTCACAGACGTGTCGACACAAAAACTATATAGAACCGCGGATAAATCAGACAGTTCGTGTGCTACTTTTCAATTGACTAATATTGATTTGACGACAAGTGTAGCCATATGCGACGAAGCAATAGGTGGATCTCGGATTACACAGCCGCAGTCGCAATTGCATTAACGTGGTCTCAAGCCGATGCCACCGGCAGTCTACGCGTTGCGCCCGCCACAAAACAGTGCCGCCACAAATCTCACGCGAGCGCAATTCGTTCTAAATTTAATTAACACGGAAATTGAAATTTCTATTTGTATTGTGACGCGATTTATATCGAGGAGATGCAGTGATCTGCAGTAACACTTTTACAAAATTGTGTTTTGACATAGTAGTGTCGCGATATTGTGCCGCAGTGATTTTACGAAATTCGTGGTAATGCGAAAGTGCAGTTGAACGGTTTCTGCAGTGTAATGATACAATTAATTCGCGAGAGCTCTCTAAGAAATTTATTTCAACTATTACAATTGTTAAAAGTTCTATCGTTCTCTCACGATGCAAAAAGAAATCAATTGGTAAAAGAGCCCTTATAGTGATTAAAGAGAATCGATGGAAACTCGATTATCGCCAATCATAAAATTATTACAGTTGGCTTCTCTCGTGTTGACAGGCAAAGTAAATAGGCCGGAAATAGACGTTTGAAGAGATACGGTCTTTTGTAGGACAGATATAAGAATTTATCGATTAGAGAGATGTGTAAATACCGGTTTTCTATACAATTTATCTAACGCTTATGTAATTCTTCACTCATAATTTTATATACTATTACAATATATGTGTAGCGTAATTGATTCTTGGTTTAAACCGCGATTTCTAACACGCTCAATACGAATACTCGTGTGATTCTCGGACTTAATGCCGCAAAACGCTTGAAAGGACTTGAGAAAGGATAGAGCCTTGAAAGGGATTGAGGTGAGGTGAGGTTGAGCCCATAAGAGGGCGAGGAAACAGGGAGGAGCACCGGCACCGAAAGTAGGTACTTCGAGATATCGACCAGTCAGTCTGGACCGTTCCACGTTCGCGCTGTTTCCATTTTCTCGTTCGCTCCTTGTTCGCAAAAGGCTGACTGCGATACTGCTTCTTTCTCGTCAAGCAAAAAGATTGCGAGACACTTTTCTTCGATGTTACTACCATTTTTAGCTTTCGAGAGAGCGTAATTAGCTAACTTGTCCTCAATTGCATAAAATCTGTCGCCACAGACCCAAGATGCGAGATTCATAGAATCGAAATAATATTCCATATTAAGAAGATACAGCCATCCCAATGTAATATTTTTTCAAACTTGTGGAAATTGCGTATTCCATGATTCAGTATCGTTAATAAAGACCTTGATATCGAATGGTATCCAAGGCGAGAAACTCATCCATTGTCATTGAGACATTCTATCTGCCAACCTAGTTGTGGCGAACAATAGCCGCGAAGTCTGCCTGATCAATCCAATTAGGAACGGTTAGTTACACGATTCCTCATCTAATTAATATCGAGGAACTAAATTCGCACATTGTAATTAACACGACTAAAACGTCGACGTAATAAATAAATGTCTTAAACAAGATATACAATAATAGTTAAATGGTTAGGTACTTATAGATGTTTCGATATATTTGTAACAAATTTTCTTTTAGTAGAAATGTTGAAAAAACTGTAATTTACAAGAAAAACTCACAAAGTGTTAGGTTCTGATTTTAATCTTTCATCTGCAATCTGAGTTTTCTTTTTCGGTATAAACGAAATTTCGCTCTCAAATTTTTCTCCGAAATCAAATTGAGTTTCTTTTCCTTAAATATTTTATAATATTTATTCGGTAATGTAACAGAGATGTTGAAAAGAAACTAGAGAATTAATAAAACTTTATATACAGGTAGATTACATAAATTATCATAAATGAATTTAGAAAATATCAGATGATGCAAAAAATGAATTTAAAGAGTAAAATCATGTTTTATGAAACATTTTTAAATATAACAAAAAAGCTAAGGATCACTTTACTTGTAAGAGATGATTTCAACCTTCAAAATTTTTCCTCACCAACAAATATTTTCTAAAATCTATTTATGTCATCTATATGCATTGAGAAGTTTCATTAACTTTCAACTACAACTATTGCACATAATTCTTCGTCCTGTTTGAAATGCAGAGTGCAAGTATTTAGAAACTCATGAGACTATAAATCACATATACAGATTGTACAATTGTCGAAAAATTTTCTCTGTAGATACAAACGATACATTGCTGTAGTCAAGAGTTAAAATGAGGATTTGACACTCCGCGAGGTGCCCTTAATAGAATTTAATTTAAAAAATACCAAATGTTAAACAATAAAAAGCAACGAGCCATAATTTTCGCTGAATAATTAAGTCTCTAACTCGGTCGCGCTAGAAGCAGTGATCACATGAATGATCCTCCCCTCCGTAATTCCTTGTTACCCTTTATGTAATAAATTATGACAGAAGCGACTGCCTTAAATAAAAACTGCGATTCACGCTCTCGTAAGACGGAAAATATCACCGCCTCTGCTCTAACGTGTATCCGGGGAGAAAAGAAAATCCCTGACGCGAGTGTACAGGCTCGTGTGGGACACAATAAAGTCTACACCCCAACCCATGAAATGCCACGGTGACAAAGGACGGTTAAGCCCTTCTCAACGTAGACGCATCGTGTACAACATGCATGCATACATACATACGTGTCGTCGCGTGGCGCGCGGGCGTCATTGCATGCATTGCATCGCGCAGAGCCAGCAAAGCGGAGTGGAGCGAAGCGATGCGGCGCGGCGCAGCCCTTCCTGCGTGCGCGGCCCCGTTTTCCCGTGGAAAAGCCTCATTTCCCGCGCGATTGATTCCCGGTGTGAGATCACACCGAGTTTGCGACCGGCATTATATATAGACTATCGATTGCGCCGCCTAACCTTTGAGCGAGAAAAAGAGCGTAACGATGAAGCGCGAATAAGACGTACGTCCGAGATGTTCGAGCGGCAGTCATGCTCGTCGATTAAAAGCGAATGCACCAGGTCAACTGTTATTGAAGATCGCAAGCTTCGCTGCGTTTCGATTAATCGTGCCATTCGAATCAAGTTCGTACCAAGATCAAACAGTGGCTCGACCGAAATTAACAAAACTATTATACTCATTTTTCAAATATCGAGTGTTCAGATCTTGTTGCTCTACAAATGTCAATTTAATTGTATTATTCTCCATTAATGAACGGTGTATTGCCGAATGGGTTTGTGTGTCAGTGCATTCTTTATCAAGTAGAGATTCCGACTTAAAAAAATTTTGATTGCCAATAGTTTAAATAAACAGTTATATCATAATAGTCAATTGATTGCTCGAGTGTTCGATTGACAATTTTTTGTTATTACCTCTTTGATTATCAAAAAAGAAGTTATGACACGCGTATAGGCTCAATAGAACATCCAGGACACGGTGGTTATATTTGGTAAAAACAATGAAAATTCAATGAGCCCGAATGACATTATGGGTATAAAAGGCGAAAACAGAAATAGCATATTTGTGCGAATCGGCTTGCACGAACAACGAGCGCAACAATCGACGTTCGTTGTTAATCGAAGTAGGACACGATGCAAATGACGTGTCAAACAACGATAATAAATAGCTAATAACAATTAAATTAATAGCAACTAATTAATTAAAACAATACCAATTAATAATGTAAAACATTTATCTGAACACAATGATTGCGCAATACTAAAAGATTCCGTGTGAGGAGCTACATCATAAACGAAAGAAGATAAAATTTTTAATTTAAACAATTATAATCTGAATAGCGTGTGCAGAGAATTTTTAATAAAAATCATCATGGAAGTCGAAGTTGTACCTTTCGTCGATAATAACGTAGGCATCAGAAAGGACCCTCTGCCACGACGGGGTAGCAGAGTGCAAATTGTTAAAAAAAAAGGGTGAGATCATTATTCGAACATGACACTTTGATACGACAAAATAATCTTTTATTTTATTTGTCTTTTATTTGTCGATGTAACTGATTCTTATACAATGTAGTTTGACTCTCATATTTCATATTATTATGATTGACACTAGATAACGCCCATATCGTTTCTGATTTCAGAACGTCACTCTTCATCATCATGAGCTTCATCTATTCGAAGCTGCTCGTAGTCGTGTGCATCGCTTACGTGATAAGCGAAGTAGTGACGCATAAATTGCCGTTGTACTATTACGAAGGATTCTTTACATACCTTTACGGCATGAGTATCCTGTTCTTGCTCTATGTCTTCTGTTTCCTCCTTCAAGAGAGTGCTTGCTGCGCGAGAGGAAGCGATACGCCGCCACCACCTCCGCGACCGCCCAAAGCTGGCTGGGCTCCTAAAGAACCCAAAGACAAGAATAAGAAAAAGGATAAGAAAGAAAAAGATCAGAAGCAGGATAAGAAGAAGAAAGATGCATCGACTCAGGTTCTCTAAAAATATTAACTTTTCACATGAAATTTCTAATCTTTCGCGAGGAATTATTGATGTAATGTTTTTTTGCAAATTAATATATCTTAATTATATTATTGGCATCATTGTTTTTAGGATACAACCGATGTTGAAGCTGCCGTTCCTACGCGAGTCTTGCGAAAACGAAAGACTTCGCAAAGTGATCACAGCCATGGGAGCTTTTTCCTCAGAATTGGTGCAATAGGTACAAGTCCATAATTTTCTGTTAGACAATTGTTTTTTAATCATTTTTGCATCAATTGTGGACAATTGATGCAAATAATATCATTAAATTGATTAAGGGGGCATATACGTTTGGAGCCTCAAAAAAAGGCATTCTTTTTTATAAGCTTTTAGTCAAAAAAAAAGACAAATCGGTGGATCCGTCTTCAAGTTATCATTGTTACCGACTTTAAAAACATGGTTTTGAGAAAAACGCATTTAAAATTTTGAAACAACTTTACTGTATTGAAGTAAAACTGAATTAATTACACGTCATCGTCAATTCTATACAGGAAATCTTCCTGCTCAAAATTTGCCTCCACTTGATAATTTGTAGTGAAGCGGTGACTTATACGGGCTTTCCTTGTTATGTAAAAGTCCGACTCTTCTACCGGCGCGGTGTTTCAGAAAGGGCACGCCTGCCTGTGCACTGCCTGACAAAATGTGTTGTAACTTCTTAACTTATTGGAATTTTAAGAAACGATTAATATTCTTGAAGGTGTCGAAAAATGCATATAAAAAAATCGATTTTTTGAAACCGACAAACGTATATGCCCTCTTAAATGTATTTTATTAGCGTTTGGACTTGGTACTATGGTGCACAACGGTTTGGAATTCGGTACGTTCTTCGAGGTACCACCTACATCACCCTGTTATCAAATTCTGCAAGGCGTCAATCCGGTGTTGCAAATGATCTTCACTTTTATGCAGATGTACTTTATCTTCATGAACTCTCGAGTACGTATTTGAAATTGTAAAATAAACTAATAAAAACGACAAGAGATGCAAATTATGATATTCTCTTTGCAGTTGAACATTCATCGCTTTAAAGTCGTCGCTCGCTTCGGTTTGATGCACGTGGTCGCGACAAATCTCTGCGTATGGATACGCACGTTGGTTCTAGAGAGTCTCAAGGAGATTACTCAGTATAAAAAAAAACTAGGCCAATTTGAGGAGGGATTTCTCAGTAAGCAATCTGTATTTATAGACTTAATCGGTACCGTCACTTTAAACCATTGAAGCAATGGTACGTCAAGTACTGACGATTATACGCTGTCGACATTTGCAGAGACCCTCAAACAGCAGTCAATGCGAAATTCAGAGACGACGATAATGGGAACCGAGTCGCGCGATATGGCGCAATTACGCGAGTTTCCTTTTACGAGATCAACAACCGTTGCGTCGACCGTCAGCAGCACAGTTGTGACAGTCGGCACTGCTCTGGGTCGTGTAATGACAACGACAGCGAGATCAATAGCGGACGCGTTTACCTCACCGTCTACAACATCCACCTCAACCACTTGGACGAGCCCGTCGACTACTTCCTTCGCGTTGCCTAATCTGACAACCACCACGGCGACGACTTTGTCCACTCTATTGACCACGTTCACACCGTCGACTACCAGTACCACCACCCCTACTACCACCACCACCGAGAAGGTCACCACTGTCCCGACTACAACGAGCACGAGCACTACCACAACTCTCACACCGTCCACTACCACGTTATGGTCGCAGATGATAGAACTACTAAACACCGCACCACAGAGTGACATAGACAACCAAGTATGAACTATATTTCATTACATATGAATAAATGGGCAAGTCAATATTATTAAGGCACAGTGAGAAGTTTGTTATTTCCTTTCTCTCTTTTAGGTACCGCAACTCTTTGATATGAGCAATTTGACGAATAGCAGTGAATATTGGAATCCGAACTTAAGTATCTACGCGGAAGCCCTAACGGAGAATCGTTCGGTGTCCAATTCATGCGGACGCATTAATATCATGGGAACCATTGTCCAGGACGCGGCGCCATATCTATTTCCGTTCATAATCGAATACAGTTTGATTGGAGCAGCAGTGATCTATGTGATGTGGAAACATATCGGCCGACATCCGCGTTGGCCTCATCTGGCAGCGGCTGATCTTGAACGTCGTCTGGAGGCTATGCTAACTCGAAGAGCTGTTGCTCTTGCTCATGCAGGTAGTTTTTCTTTCCACATAATAATCTTTTTTTTATCTGCCTTGCTAGAAATAAAAACACAATTTATTCCATTTGTTTGAGAATCGAGTTATCATAAAAGATATTATCAGATCAAACTAGGGTCGACTGCGTTGGAGCAAGCAAAGGTCTCTTCTTTGGTCTACTTCTTCTGGTCGGTTCCCTGATATGCCTGATACTGTTCTTCGTGCTGATCCATCATCCAGAGTTTGGATTGCTTGCGATTTATCTCGCTGACGTGTCTCACTGCGTCATAATGGCGTTATCAATTATCGCAATAATCATCGGCTTCATTCGCGTGCAGAACCTCAAGTTCAAGGCCGAGGAGCAAAGCGACCTCAACGACATTCTCCTGCGCGTCTCTGCTTTTGGTCTCTTCGTCTACGCCGTCTTCAGTGTAATCGCCGGTTCCCTGGCGGCCTTCACGCATGAGCCGAATTTGCTGGTGATGGTGACGGGAATACTTTCAGTCGTCCAAGTGATCCTTCAGATGCTCTTCATCGCAGATGTGTCGCGCAGGCGAGTTCATCTGCCAGAACACGATCGCAGCAAGCCCGGCAGACAGGTGGTTACTTTCCTGCTGATTTGCAACGTGAGCATGTGGGTGATCTACACTTTCGAGACCCGGAAAGTTGACGCCAATCCGGTGCAGCTTGACTTCTACGGATTCCTCGCTTGGGCTATTGTGCAGAGGGTCACCTTGCCACTGTGCATCTTCCACAGGTTCCACAGCGCTGTGACGCTGGCTGAGATCTGGAAAACTAGCTACAAGGCGCGTCTGGAGTAGACGAGCGGGAAGTCCCGTCATAGTCAATCGTCCGGAGTGGTCGTCGGTTGGAACGAAAGAGCGAGCACAAGCAGGTCAGGATGTTCGACGACCTCGATCACATACATCGATTTCAGGTCTCGAGAAAAAAGGTGAGGAGAGAGAGAAAAAGAGAAAGAAAGAAGTGGGAGGAAGGTCGACGGACGGAAAAATTGCAAAATGACGGATCAGCCGGAATAAACGAACGTATACGGGGTGTCTGACACGCTCGTCGCACGAAGAAATCTTTGGATGATATCCAAGTCGTTGATAATTGTTAAACAGTTCCAAGAATTCAAGTTGGAAGTTGAAGATATATCTCGTTGAGAAACCCTTTATCGACATCTGAAGAGGCACTTCAGTGATACAATCAAGATCGATCTAAGATCCTCGAAGAGGAGCTTTCGCGTAAAGTGGAGCCAGATATGATCGTGCCGAAAACTATTTCTTTGTCTCCTGTTTTATGTATACGTTGTATTTTTACCCCTTTGTTTTTTTTTTTTTTTTTTTTTTTTACGTTGTTAGCGATCAATAGAGACAACAGGGAGAAGGATGGATCAACCTGGACGATCGACAAACATCTTGTCAATCGGACAGGCTTTCGTCAGTCTTGGCGTAAACGAAGGACAAAACAACAAAAATGTTAGCGCATACGCATTTCCCGTCACCGCGTTTCTCACCTTACACGATCTCTATATACTGCCACTAAATTTTCTACTTTTATATGTATAACGTTATATGTACCGTATATGTACCCTCGCCCCATTGTGCATTATCGAGAGCATTGTCGACAATTCGGTTCACTCGCGGGGATTTAAATTGTTCGATATATTTCCTGAAATTTTTCTTATTTCATTCATTACGCGGATATGTCGGATCGCTGTGATATATACTTTTGTGAAAACTTGAGTCGGCGTTGGCGACGAATCTCCTTCTATTCGTACGTTAACGTATCTTTAAGTAAATACTTAAATATTTTTATAAGTCATCGATATATTTAGCGGATGAGATTAGCCTCTAAGTTTATCGTGTTTGGTTTACGCTCTCCGATATAGGTACGTATATCTTACGAGGCGTTAATTAATTTGATATCAGAATTCGTCGTATTAGCTGACTGTTGAAGCAAACGGCGTTCGTTTCCGTATTTTATCGAAATAATTTCACGATCGTAAAAGATAATGTGAGCGGAGCTCTTAAATTTATTCATCACAAAATGTATACACGACGTGTAACATAATAATCGCAAGTGAAACGAGCGAAATGTGGTTGCATTTTTCGCGGTCGAAGTTTAACTGCGCAGAAAAGACGCGAAGAGCAGGGTATAATTTCGCGACGTTGTTTGCTTAACGAAAGCAAATCGAACGACGTTTCGCGAAAGATCCTCTTGTTCTCAAAATATACTTTGTTCAAATCGCGAGTGCTTCCTCGCATTCAAGAGCGCGCAATTATAACGAGAGATCCGTCCCTTCAAAAGGGACATTTGCAAACGCAAGATCTCCATCGTCGTATCCCATTGCGTGCCGCAGAGTACAAAATTGTTTTTGAAATTTTACGAATCCCTTTATCGACACTTTTTCAACATTCGTTCACTTTGAATGAACACGCCAACGACATCGTGTACCTTTGTCGTATCTTCATCGCGAGTAGTTGGCACACGGAGAGGCGCACATTTAAAGAACAACACCTTCTACGAGGAGTCAATGAGGAAGGAGACCCGTGTTCGAAGCCAACACGAGCGTTTATTGTGTATAGAGAGAGTATTTTGTTTCAGACTTGCCGACGAGTACTCTGAATGGCATATACACGAAAAGCTTTCACGAACGTAGACGGAAGTTACGCTCTATGATGTAAATTGTGTGACTAAAACGTATAACGTAACAGCAGCGCGAAGGAAGTCATTGACGACTTTTGCGTTGAAAAAGGCTTATTTTCGGCGAAAAGCAATTCGTACGTATTTGTCCTTTCAATTATTTATTCTCGCAGGCGGTACAATATTTAAACGTCAAAGATTTCCATTGTGAATGGCTTAATTCTTTGAGGGGCGACGGTGCAGCTTGTGTACTTGACGTATATAAGTCACAGTATAATGTATTTTAATTAGGTGCCACGACATTTGTGCGTTTCTATGTTGGTGCGATGTGGTTTAATTTGTCAACTACAGTGCCTAAGTTTTACTCTAATACTGCTTCTCTCTTTCGGTGATCCTGCACAAAATACGCTGACTTTCTCAGCCCCTGAAAGAGTTAAGGGATAGAATTTCTGGGGGAGGGATAGAAAAGAAACAAAGACTATAATCGGTTCACGCGAATAGAGGAGCAACTCGCACTCATGAAATATAAGAAATAATTATTCTCATCATTATTGATTAGTGTTTAAGCCTATCTCCAAGAGATATCGATCTTTCGCATTTACTTCGCTATTGATATCGTATGTAGATCGTTGAAAAGAGATAACGTTCATCGTATAGAGACTATACTTTGTGAATTCCTCCACAATCCTTGTGAAAATACTCCCTTCTCCTGAGAAATAAAGCACATATTAAATTTTATTTAATAAAATTTATAGATATGCGTCGTAAATTTTATTACGTAAAATTTTATCGCGCAATGAAAAAACAATAATACACAAGACATATTCGGCATCTTGGCAGAAATCATAATTATACACCAGTCGACGTCTTTAGCTTTTGAATTTCAATTATTAGAAATAATATAAATAGTAAGTAACGCGCTCTCTCCGTGCGCGAAATATGAAAGAAATATTGTTGCACCACAAGCTAAAATACTCATTAAGTCGATTAAATATAATTTTATATATATTATGAAGACTTGTACTAATTTCGATGTGCGCAACTGTAGCCGGAGTGTTGCGTGTGACATGTAAATAATAATTATTCTTTTGTCAGTAAATCATTTATTCAGCGGAGTGTCTATGAAACGAATGTCATTACATTGCCAACAGAATATATAATTCAACAAATTTTCAATATTTTTTCAACTGTTATTCTAATTACAAAGCGCTACTAAAAGTATATAAGCTGATTTTCTACAATTATACGTGTGGCAAAAGTACGCAATGCATTTTAACTTATTGTTTAGAAAAAAATATAAATATATACCAATATAAAGATGAATGAACTTCTATAAATCAAAACACTCTCATGGATATTGCAGTCATTATTAGTCTAATTAGAAAATTAGATTTAATCAGAAGAAGTAGATGAATCAGCTTGTATGCGCAATAATGTTAATTATAGCTAAATTAATGTGTTTTAAAAATAAATGTTTTAAAATTGTATTAAGTTGTTAATTGTAAAAACACGTAGTCACAAATTGTGTGAGATGAATTTTAATTATTTGTAGAGACTTGTGAGTCTTTTCGTTTTGTCAACACTCTGCACATAATTACGTCATAGAAGGGATAAAACCACGGCAACAGTATTCATTGCGAGAATTAAATTAATTAACAAGGCACTGCCACACCGGACCAACAAAGCCGAAACGAATGACAGAAGAGATTCTGAGAGGGGCAGAGGAAAGATACGCGCAAACGCAGAAAGAGAACTAACAATCCCTAATTGATGATTTTCCGTAAAAAGAAAAGAAGATATATATGAAACCTTCCACGTTTAAAGATGTGAACGAGTGCGTAGTTCCAATATACGTATGCGTGATGTGTGCGCGTGTGTGTGTGTGTGTGTGTGTGTGTGAGAGAACGAGTGAGAAAAAGATAGAAGAAAGAAGACGGAAGAACACGTTTTTCTTCGGCAAACAACGTCTCTTTGTATACTTTAACCCGTGCTGTAAGGAGAAAAACCCACGATTCTCTTGTATATGTACATCAATATCTCGATAGTAGCCGTAAGCCTAACTAGTGAGTCGCGGATTTGCGATAGGGCCAATGAAACAAATGCAATTGAGATTAATTTAATTTAATTGCAAATTATGCGCGATTGTGTTAATTAATTTCTTTTTTTATATATGGTATATTCATAAAATTATTTATACCAATTTGCACAAACGCTATTCTATTTATTATATATACGTTTTGATTATAAATCTAATGTATGTACATATACTACTCGACATTGTGCAAGTAACCGAGATTTTTATTTTACAGCGTGCACACACGATTTTATTCCAATTATGTTTCAAACTTAGTGAGAATGCATTCCATTTTGACGCACATGATGTATCATTTAATCCTTGTTTAATATTCAGAATGAATAATAAGGATAAAATGATATATCATGCGTCAAATGAAACGCACTCATTTTCAGCAACTTTCGTATCTATACTTTAACAACTTGACAAAGTCGCGAATCCTCAAGAAACAGATGAAGAGAGAACAAAAGAAATTTGCATGCGTGCCGGAAGCAAATCCGCGACGCATTATTATTTAACATAATGTAGTGAGTTTTCGATGTCTTCGAGTATAATTACAGTTTGTACACGTATACACGCAGTTTTAAGCAACAGAATGTACACACAAATACATAACACACATACACTTGCGCGCACGCGCAAGTACATCACTCATGGATTTACCAGAGGCACATCGAGGAGGAAGCGAGGACAATGGAAGGCACAGAACAGAAGAAGTTAACGTTTCATCGGAACAGGCGACAATGACAGGCGGAACACAAAAAAAATAAAATAAAATAAAATACAGTAAAAGTATAAATTACATGTTGTGGTGTAAGCAGTTCTTCGAATGTCGAGTAGCGACGAATACGTCTGTAAATTCATCAATTCGCTCATTCATCGATTCCTATTTTCATTATATACCGTTAAAACCAGTTTCATTGTGACCCGAGTTACATCGGTACGTCATCGTTGCCGCATCATTTGTAACGATACACAATTATATTGGTTAATAAAAGTTATCTAGACGTAACATGTGTCTATTTTATTTCTACCCGATACAGGTATTTGTTATATGTATAACCAAATATAATACATGTATAAAATATATTCGTGTATGCTTCTCTATATAAATCTCTGTAAAATCTTTATATATATATATATATCTAAGAAAAATATTTTTCTTTATAGCTATATATTATTATTATTTGAATTAAAGTTTTTGTTTGCTACATGTCGTCGCGGCTCTTTGCCTCTTTTTTTATTTATATTATTTTACACTTACAGAGCCTTGTATTAATTAGTATTTATATATACATATATTAGATATTTTTTATTTAATTAAAAAATAGACCTTTTTTACACATTTTACAACACACACACACACATTCTTCTTTCCATTCATGTTTCTTCATCACAGTCATGTCTTGAGACATTTTTGTAACTATAATTAAATTAAATTGTTTTGAAATATGATTCTCTGTCTTCCAAGATATTTTAATGTTGTTTATATCCAATTCTAAATATAAATATTAAATAACTTGTACATAAAATATTTAATGCAGAATTTAGAATAACAAAAAGATTTCAAACATCTTTTAATTCGCAAATTTTATAA